CTTTAATCAGCAAGGCAATAAATGCATCCTCACTCCCTTTATCCACAGCCATTTATCCAGGGCTATGGGATCTGTGCTGTGGCACTGACACAAAATTCCTGTCTCTTTTTTCCTTCCCCTATTTCCTTCCTAGAAACCCTTTCCCAGGATATTTGAATCCACCTGCCCCTGCTCAGCGCTGAGTGAGAGCAGAAATTAAAAATAAAAAAAAAAAAAGGGAGACCAGGAGGAAGCGCCAGAGCCCGGGGCTGTTTGAAGAGATTCCCATTCCCAACCCACGGACCCCGCAGCCTCCCGGGGCTGGGAATAAAAGCAAGGAGGGAGCTTGAATTTTTTATGGAACAAGCTGGAACAAGCTGCTCTGTGGTTTACAAGGACCGGCTGAATTTTGATGACTCCTTCCCAGCAGAGCTGTTCCTTTTTTTAGGTCAGGGCGGCCGCGGGGCCGTGGCTGTCACCCGCTGTCACCTGCTGGGAGAAGCCACCAGGGATTTTGGAGCTGCACATCCTTCCTGGCTGCTCTGGAAAACTCTCCCTGCTTCCATTTGCTTTTATTCTGCTGGCTGGAAATATCAGGAAATATTCCTTTTAGGTAGCCACAGTTCTCTCCTGGATTCTTTTCCTCTCCTGGGGGAACATTCCCAGCTCTGCCAGCCTTTCCCCACAGGAATTCCAACTGCCAGCTCTGAACTCCTAAAGATAAAATTTTTATTTTCAGCATGATCCATCAATATTCCCCTGATCCATCTGAAGTTTAGAACCGGTTTTAAGTCGCCAGGGATAGACTTGGCCCAGATCTCACCTTGCTGTTTGCAAAGGCAGCCTCAGAGCTGTGAGGAATGAGCCCTGAAAAGTGGAAATTGGGAATCGCAACCATTCCTGCTCTAATTTAATTTCCCAAAGCCGAGAACATCAATAAAAAATCGTGTCCCTGCATGTCACAATCTCTTTGGATTTATGGCCAAACTCTCCCTCCTTAATTCCACAAAAAAAAACCAAAAAAACAAAGCTCCTCTAGATTTCCAAAATCAATGCATGCAGGGAAATCTTTGGGACAGAAAATATTCCCTTGGAGGAGAAAGATGAAAATCCTTGATGGGAAAAACGTGAGGAATATTCCAATAAAAATGTGGAGTTCCAACTCTCTCTCTTCCCTCACTGCATTAATTGCTAAAAATCTCATTTTTGTGACTGGTTCTGAAGAAAACTTTCTATATTTTTTCACGTCCTAGAGCAAATCCAATGGATTTGCTGGAAATTCCCAGCTCACAAACATCTTCCCCTTGGGAGCAGATGTGATTCCCAGGATCCTGAGAGAAGGAATCTGCAGAATTCCTGCTCTTCAGGTGGGGGTTGAAATAAATCCAATTTATTGGGTTTATTCATTATTATGGTGCTCCAATAAATCCATTTCTCCTGGGGGACTTCAGTTCCCATTTCCCTATGTTTCCACAGGCAGAAAAGTGACAATTCCTTAATTTTATGATTCCTTTTCCATCCCCTCCTGGCTTCCCTAATTATTTTATCAAATAAGATTTCTAACATTAGCTGTGATTTTTTTTTTTTTTTTTTTTTTTTTTTTTTTTTTTTTTTTTTTTTTTTTTTGAATTCTGCTTAACCAATGCCAGAGTTTTTCCCTGTGTCCTGAATCCCTCTCTGAGATAGAAATTTCTCTTAATTCCAGTGACAACAGAGAAGCAGGATGGGACAGGGATGTGTCCCCTGGCTCTGTGACCCAGCCTGGCTTAGTGGGATTTGGGAAGAAATTCCTGGCTGGGAAGGTGAGGAGAGGCTGGGATAGAATTCCTAAAGAAATGAGGCTTTGGAGAGGAAAAATTGGAATATTTGGATTAAGCTGGCACAGAGAAACTCTGGTAATGACATGAAGAGATAATTAAAATGAAATGAAAATTTTAAAACCAGCTAAAATTCCTAACACAATTAATTCCATTGGAAATTCCCTTCCTCCAGTGAATTCCTTCCAGAATTTCCTGATTTCTCCCTGGAAATCCCGGAGCTGAGCCCAGCAATGCCAGGAGTTACAGGAACTTAAATTAAACATCACAAATTCATCAGAAATTCCTTGGATTCAGGAAAATCCCAATTCCAGCCCTGCCCTGGGCGTGTCCCAGGAATTCCACGACTTCCAGGGAAGTGCCCGAGCACAAATCCCAAGAAATTAAATGATAAAATTAAAGATTTATTTTTCCAAAGTTCATCTCAAGCACAAATCCCAAAAAATAAAATGTTCAAATTAAGGATTTGGTTTTCCCAAGCACAAATCCCAAAAAATAAAATGCTAAAATTAAGGATTTGTTTTTCCAAAGTTCATCCTGAGCACAAATCCCAAAAAATAAAATTCTAATGTTGAGGATTTGTTTTTCCCAAGCTCATCCCAAACAAAAATCCCAATAAATTAAATGCTAAAATTAAGGATTTCTTTTTCCAAAGATCATCTCAAGCACAAATCCCAAAAAATAAAATTCTAACATTGAAGATTTGTTTTTCCAAGCACAAATCCCAAGAAATTAAATGATAAAATGAAGGATTTGTTTTTCCAAAGCTCATCCCAGTGGGAAATCTGTGGGAAATCCCAAATTTCTTCCTGATATTTTCCAAAAGGTCCCTCTGCAAAATCCATTTGAATCCATCCCCTCGATGTCCCCACCCAAATTATTATTCCAGGTGCTGAAAATCCAAAGAAAGATTTTTGGGATTGATCTCTTGGGGGATGATTTGAAGGCAAAGCTCGGTGGGAGCTTCCAAAATTCCCAAAATTCCCAGAAAAAATCAGGTGGATGCTCCCAAGGAAGGAGGGGAATGGAGAAGGAAGAGCTGGGGAGGAGGATGGATTGTGGGAATGGACTGGGAAAAAAATAGAAAAGAAAAGAAAAGAAAACAAAAGAAAAGAAAAGAAAACAAAAGAAAAGATTAAATTAAAATGAAGTAAAATAAAATAAAGTAAAAAAAGGAAAATAAAAAAATCAAGTAAAATAAAAAATAAAATTGAATAAAGTAAAATGAAAAATAAGTCAAGTAAAATGGAATAAAAGAAAAAATAAAGATAGAATAAAATAAAATAATATGAAAATGAAAAAGTTAAATGAAATAAAATGAAGTAACATGAAATTAAATTAAATTAAAAATAAAATAAAATTAAATTAAATCAAATTATATGTAAAAAATGAAGTCAAATAAAATAACATGAAATGAAATAAAAATAAATAATGTAACATAACAAAGTAAAATAAAAGAAAGTAACATGAAATGAAATTAAAAATAAAATGAAGTAAAATAAAATGAAGTAAAATAAAATAACATGAAATGAAATGAAATGAAATGAAATGAAATGAAATGACAGAATTCTCTCAAGGCCCAGCAGCCATCCCAGATCCCGGGAATCCCCACATCCCATCCAAGATCCCGGGAATCTCCCCAGGCTGATCCCAGATCCCAGGAGTCTCCCCAGGCTGATCCTGGGAATCTTCACATCCCATCCAAGATCCCGGGAAACTCCCCAGGATGATCTCAGGAATCTTCACATCTCCTCCCAGACCCCGGGAATCCCCCAGGCTGATCTCAGGAATCCCCCAGGCCATTCCCAGATCCCAGGAACTCCCCCAGGCTGATCCCAGGAATCCCCCAGCCCATCCCAGACCCCGGGAACCCCCCGGGCTGATCCCAGGAACCCCCCAGGCTGATCCCAGGAATCCCCCGGGCTGATCCCAGATCCCAGGAGTCTCTCCAGGCTGATCCCGGGAATCCCCCAGCCCATCCCAGACCCCGGGAACCCCCCAGGCTGATCCCAGGAACCCCCCGGGCTGATCCCGGGAACCCCCAGGCTGATCCCGGGAATCCCCCAGGCTGATCCCGGGAACCCCCCAGGCCGTTCCCATCCCGCTCTCACCTGGCGGATTCCCAGGCGATATGCCAGGATCCGATCCACGGCGCTGGGATTCATCTGCGTCCACTGCAGGCTGTAGGAATAAACCCGCGGGCGGTTCTGCCACAGAGGGTTGTACGTGTCGTAATAGAACTCGGGGGCGTAGGCTTTTCCTGCGGGAAAACCACGGGATTAGGGACACTGGAAATCAGGGAATGGCCAGGCAGCCTGTGAATAACTCAGCCAGCCATGAGGAAAAGGATGGGATTAGGGAAATTGGAAATCAGGGAATGGCCAGGCAGCCAGGGAGTAACTCAGCCAGACAAGAATTCAGCCATCCATCAGGAAAAGGATGGGATCAGGGAAACTGGAAATCAGGGAATGGCCAGGCAGCCTGTGAATAACTCAGCCAACCATTGGGAAAACGATGGAATTAGGGAAATTGGAAATCAGGGAATGGCCAGGCAGCCAGGGAGTAATTCAGCCAGACAAGAGTTCCCATCCATCAGGAAAAGGATGGAATTAGGGAAATCAGGGAATGGCCAGGCAGCCTGTGAATAATTCAGCCAGACAAGAATTCAGCCTTCCATCAGGAAAAGGATGGGATCAGGGAAACTGGAAATCAGGGAATGGCCAGGCAGTCAGGGAGTAACTCAGCCAACCATCAGGAAAAGGATGGAAAACACATGGAAATCATTGGGAGATGACTTCAGCTGGGCATTCCCACATCCAAGGTTCCAAGTGCAGCCAGCCCCTCATTCCTAAAATCCAAGGGTTGAGATCCAACTGCAGTCACTCCTCATTCCCAGGATCCAAGGGTTGAGATCCAACCCCTCATTCCTGGACTCAGGGGTTGAGACCCAACCCCACATTCCCGAAATCCAAGGGTTGAGATCCAACCCCACATTCCCAAAATCCAAGGGTTGAGATCCAACCCCACATTCCCAAAATCCAAGGGTTGAGATCCAACCCCTCATTCCCAGATCCAAGGGTTGAGATCCAACTGCAGTCACTCCTCATTCCCAGGATCCAAGGGTTGAGATCCAACCCCTCATTCCCAGATCCAAAGGTTGAGATCCAGCCCCTGATTTCCAGGATCCAAAGGTTAAGCTCCAACTCCACCCATCCCTCTCCTGCTGTTTGGAGTGGTTTTGTTCACTATCTTCTTCCAGAACCACATTTTAGGATTATTTTCCTCCATCCACGTTTTTTAAGGATTCATTGCTGTGCTTTGCCTTTATCATTAATTCCCTCCTCCAGGTGTGGGATGGAAGAGGAAAAATTCCTGGATCCAATGGCAAAGACAGGTTGGAATCTCTGCACTGCTGCCAAAACAGAGCCCCAAGCCCTCCTAAGCTACACCAGGAAATTCCAGGATGGGCACCAATGATGGGAAATGCCATCCCAGAGCTGGGAATAGGATTTGGATATTCCCAGTGGCTGCTGCTGCCTCCATCCCATCTTTCTCCTCCACATTCCCATGTGGAAAGGCTCTGGAGTTGTCCTGAAGGACCTGGAGAGGTGCCTGATCCTCCAGGGCATGGTTTAGGTGTGGTTTGGACAAGGAAGGACAACGGAATGTCCCAGGGAATTGGGAAAATGAGGGGAGCACCAGCACAGCCAAGACTTCATCCTTCATAAATGTGGGAAAAACTAAGGATGATTTCCCAAAGTGAGGACAAAACATTCCAAAACATTCCTGAATCCACTAAATCTGGGTTCATGCTGACTTAAATCCATGGAGAGGCTTTGCCAAAGGATGGGGTGGATATTCCATCCCTGGAATTGTCCAAGGCCTGGAGCAACCAGATTTCATTAAAAATGTCCCTTCCCATGGCCTTTTCCAGCCAAACCATTCCATAATTCCAAGATCTTTCATGGAGCAGATCCATCCTTGTCCCATCCATAAGAAATGAGACAGGGGCAAACCCAATCCAGGGTGAGCTGTGCTCCATTTTGCCACTGAAAATACCCCAAAAAATCAGGGAAAACCCGGAAAATTAAATTATTTCCATGTTTTCTTCTCCTGGAAAGCTCCAAAAGATGCCTTTCATTAGAGAAAAACCAAAGCAGGAGAAGGATTTTCCACTTCCTGAAGTTTCTACTTTCATTTGTACTTCTGCAGGGATTTGGCAGCGGGAATAATTGGGAAAGGGCTGGAAAAACTCGGGAAAACACAGCCTGCCTGTCACATGGAATATGGGAGGGGTATGGATTCATTACTGCCCCACCTTAATTAGGATTTTAGGAGTTTGTGACAAACCAAACACAGAATTTAGGGATTTTCTGCTCAAAACTATCCCTGATCCAGGTGGAAATAGAGAGGGATGAGAAGCATTTCAAATTCCAAATTGGACAACTTCCATCGGCAGAAAAGCAGTGAGAAGAGGAAGGGAAGAAATGCCTTTTAAAAACCCCCTAAAATGCAAAGGAACAAAGGTAAAATCCCAGGAATAAACACCAACGTGGCACTTACTGAACCAGCTTTTGTCTCCAACCACGCTTTTCTTTTCCAAAGATTTAAAAAAAAAAAAAAACCTTTTAGCCAAGATATTTTTTCCCAATTTCCTGGAGAAGGAGCACCTGCAATTAGCCCAGAGTGGAGGAACAAACAACAATATTCCAAAGGGAGGGAGCAAAGCAAAACCTCTGCTGGAAAAAAAAAAAAAAAAGGGGCTGTAGTGGGAATAAAAAGGGAGCAGCGGTCGAGACGATTTGTTTTCCTCGTTCCTGAGAAGTGGGAATAATGGGAAAAGCTCATGCTGGATGCAAATTATCCTCTTCCCACTCCCAGTGCTGTTGGATATAATGGGATCTCTGGAGGGGGACTGAGAGGAGCCATAATGAGCCACTTGTCACAAGAGGGACACTTGAACAACACGGGCACCTTTGGGGGAATAATGAGGAGCCCTGAAGAGCTGCATTATCCCAAATCCCTGTGAAAACAACCCTGGCAATGGAGAGGCTGGAAATTCAACAGCACAACACTGAGAGCCTCCCTTGTAAAATTCGGGAAGCAGGGCTGGGCGTTTGGAGTGCAGGGAAAGCAGAGGTGGCTTCAGGAAGTGTCCCCAAATGTCCCTTGTCCCCAAAGCCCTTGGCTCTGGATCTTTGGGACAGGAGGGACCTGGAGCTCCTGGATATGATCCAGGGGAGGGATGAGAGGATGCTGGTTGTTGGTTTTCTCTGAGGTTTCTCCAGAGTTTTTAATGGAAGCAGAAGTTGGGTTGTGTCACTTGGAAGTTCAGCTCGTGGTGGGGAGCCTGGAGGTTGGGAATATTTGGATTTTTGGGCTGGGAAGATCATTTTTAGCTGGGATGATGGGAATGTGGGAGGTTTCTGGGATCTCAGCTCTTCCTGGGCTTGCCACCTCAAAGCCCAGCTGGCCCAGAGTCTGTGGAGTTTTCATCCCTGGGGATCCTGTGCCCAGCTCTGGGATCAGCAGGGACAGGATCGGGGCCACCACATCCTGTGCCAGTGTAAGGTCAAGAATGGGATGGGATCATTGTGGTGCTGAATTAGAGAAACCAAAAAAAATGGAAAAGTCACTTCAGCTGCTCCATCCCAAGCTCCACTGGGATCTAAAAGCTGGAGAAATGTCCTGAGCAGGAGTGGATTGAGGCATTCCCCTTGTCCTGGCACTCCAGGCCTTTATCCAAAATCCCTCTCTCTGTCCCTGGGTTTGAAGTTGTTCCAAGCAAGGAAACAACATCCCCCCCCCTCCCCCCAGCTCTGCAATCCCCCAAATTCCCATTTATTTCCCAAACAGACCCAAGTGTCCTAACCCAGAACTTCCAGGATGGTTTATTATCATCCCTTGGGATGGCAATCCAGGAGGCAGAGCGCTTCCTATCCCAATTCTCCAGCTTTTAGCAGATCTCGGTGCTGCAGTTTGATTTCACTCTGATGGGAAGGATCCCTCTCTCCGTGCCCATTTCCCACCCCACCTCCAATCCCGGAGCTGCTTTCCACATTTCAGGAGGATTTCATGGTTGGCTCCGTGGTTTCCTCAGCCCAGCTTTCCCTGAAGTGTTCCCATCCCTTCCACCTTCACATCTCAGACAATAAACCTGGCTCAGCACCGCCTGTTCCTGCCACCTGAATCACTCAGCTGTCCATTTGTAGCCCATAAAAAAATGCATCTGTTAAAAAAAAAAAAAAAAATCTGCATCCTTGGATTCCACATTCCTTATTCCTTAAAATTTGGGAATTTTAGTTTTGAAAATCAAATTAAAGGGTTTCAGCTGTTCCATTTTAGGGGAAACAATCAGCCAGGATTCCTGATCCTGTGGCTCACTGGGATCACTCAGTCATTTATCCCCGAGGAAAAGAATCCCTGCAAGGAATTGTTGCTGGACTGGGCACTGCAAATTCCAGCTGGGATGAGAGCAGAGCAGCACGGGGATCTCAGCAGTGCCACAATGCCCCAAACCTCTGTCCCTGAATGTCCCAGATCCCAGAGGGTGGGGTTGGTGCTGGCTCCCTGTCCTGCAGGAATAAACAGTGGGAATTATGTGCTCAAGGAATCATTTCCTTTTCTGTTCCCTCCTTCTCTTCCCATCGAGTTCTGCCAATTCCTGGGAATTTGACTCTTGGGAATTGCAGCACCTCTGTGCCATCTTTGTGGCACTCCTGGTGACAGGAGCTGGCTGTGAGTGCTGAGCAGAGCAGCTCCCACTTTGTCACATTTAGAGAAAGGAAATAAAATCCGGGATTTATAAATCCTCCTTCTCCTTCTGGCAACCTCAGCTCCAGCCTTTGCCATCTTTAAACTGCTGGGAGAGCACAAATCCTAAATAAAACACTGCATTAAATTGTGTGGAATAGTGGGAGAACACAGAATTGATGGAAAATGCTGCCCCTTCCCGTGCTCTGCTTTATTCCAGGAGCTCTGTTTCGTGGAGGGATTGCAGGAAGAAAAAGAAAATGTTTTGTTCTTTGTTTGCATTTGGGAAAGGCAACATCTGTCTCCTCCTGGATCTGCTCCTCATCCCAATCCTGCAGCTGGATCATCCCAGTCCAGCCTCCCCATAACCATGGGAGCTGAAAATCAGGGAATTGTTTGGCTTGGAAGGGACCTTAAAGATGTTCTTGTATTTGTGGCCTTCCCTTAATCCTCCAGGAATGAATTCCAGGGTCTTCCCTGTCCTCCAGGAATTAATTCCAAGGTCTG